GGTAACGGCTTCGCCCAAAGACTGAAGGCTTGACCGCTGTGTTTAGGTGGTACCCTGAGTTCCCTGAGGCAGGGGCGTAGGGGCAAAGGTAGAGGTGGTGAGGGCAGTGGGAGAGAGGCTGCAGAGGCAAGGGAAGCGGGAGGCCAGGCCATGCTCGCTCTATGACAGACCGGTGAGTCACGCAGGGCTTCCCCAGCCTCTGTCTGGCCAGTTGTGCCAACAAGTATGAAGCTCACCAGGCCGCGATTGCAGGGCCCACTCTTCAAGGGGGGAAATCAGGGCTCAGAGAGGGGACAGTGCAGCCTGCTGGACGTCGCCAGCATGGCGCCAGCTTCTGGCTCTAAGGAAGAGCAGAGCATCTGCCCTCAGCCGCTGGGAGCCCCAGGGGGGGCCTTGGAAATCAACGCATCCAGCCTTCCGTTTTCCAAGAAAGCAGAGGGCAGTGTGACCTTGGGCGGGCTGCCCGCCACCTCAGAGCCCTGGCCCCTCAGGTGCCCTTTAGGGGCCTAGAGACCGCTCTCTAGTGGGTAGAGGCCCCGAGAGATAATGCACAGGCCGGGAAAGGCCTTGTAAACTGTAGAGAGGTGCACAGCCTCTCTCGCTGCTGGCACCCACACGGGCAGCTGTGCTCCCCCCGGGCCCAGCTGTTCACCACCTGGGCTGGTGGGTGTGCATCCAGAGGGGGGCCTCCCGAGGCTGGGCCAGCACCTGCTCCAGCTCACACTGTGCAAGCCCAGAGAGCCCACAGCTGGAGATGCACCCAGAGGCTGCCTAGAACTGCCCTCTGCGGGTGCCCGTGCTCTGGCTGGCGGCCCCACAGGCACTGGTGTAGCTGGAAGAAGGGTAGGGGCCTGGGCCATAGGGACGCTCTCCCTGCTGCCCCATGGGATTTGCCCTGTCTCTGTGGGTGTGTCCCGGGCACCAGGGAGCTGAGCTGTGAGGAGAAGGTTGGGCATGTCTGCATGTGATGAATGAGAATATGCAACTATGGTGTACCCAGGAGTGAACAAGAGTAGTGTGAAGACTTTGAGCCAGCCGACTTGTCCCTGATCCTTGGTACCACGTCTTTAGAGCTGGGTGACCTTGGGCAAGTTACTTAGCCTCTCTGTGCCTCGGTTTCCCTCTCTGGAAAAAGGGGATGGTGAAAGTCCCTAGCTCGTAGGGTTGGCGTGAGACGTGGATGAGTTAATCCAGAACATAGCCTGGCACACAGGAAGTGTTCAAGAAATGTCAGCTGTGATTATCATGGAGGGGAGCTATGGCGCCGTGTCGTGCATCTAAATAGGCGCGTGCACACCTGTGCGATGGATGGCGAGGGGGGTGCGTGAGAGGGGGACGCATGCATACATCTCCCTATAGTTGCGTGTCTCTGTTTCAGGCTTGCGTGTGAGCTGAAGATCCGAGCATGCACACTCTGGTTCACGCCCGTGTGTGTGGTGGGTAAACGCGTGTGCCGCGCTGCGTGGATGCTCCGGCACAGGGGTGTGCTATGTCCGTGTTGTAGCTGAGTGTGTTTGTGGCAATGTACACTCAGGTAGGCTGGGTCTGGGCGGTCACGCCCTGCAGACTGTGTCTGTGTGGGCATGTCTGCACGTGCAGGACCAGCTAGATTATGCACCTGTGCCTTGGGGGAAGGTGTGTGTGTGTGTGTCTGGGGGACAGGACAGGAATCTATAGCTCTCACAATCCAATTTGGGGGTGTGGAGTCTCGCAACGAATATTTATTGCGCCCCGCTGTGTGCAGAGGGGCTGCGGAGCCCTCTGGGAAGGGGCGGTCCTGGGGTGTGCAGTGGAGGGGTACCCTCAGGGGGGCGGGGCCCCATCGTCGGGGTTTGGGGGCAAGCAGGGGTGGAGTCAGGGTTCGGCGAGCTGGCGGCGGAGAGGAGTGGGGGGAGGGCAGGGGGAGGGGGCGGAGCCGGAGTCGGGGGGGATGGGCGAGGTTTGGGGGCGCGGGGAGGGGCTCTGTCTCCTCCGCCGGCTCCCGGAGGGAGGGGAGAGGGCGGAGGGAGGGGAGGGAGGGAGAGAGGGAGGGAGGGAGAGAGAGACAGGGTGAGGGAGAGACGGCGAGAGCGAGGGAGCGAGAAGGGAGGCAGAGGAGGCGCGGAGCGGGCGGCGGCCGCGGCCTGAGGAAGAGGAGGAGGAAGAGCGGGCGGAGACGCGGCGCCCGGAGCCGGCCGGACCGAGCCGGGGGCGGGCTAGCCAGGAGGGGCGCGGCGGACGGGGGGGCGCTCTGCGGATGGCCAGG